TTCAGAATTCATTCTTGAGGGGACATTTTTAGAAAACTTGCTAAGGGAATGGGAAAATTGAGCTGATTATGTCAGGATTTGTCTTCATAGTGCCAAACACAAGGACATTTGGGATTCTGACCTCTGTCCCGATGCTGCCACATCGTAAGCTGTTGGGGTCCTGGAAGACACAGTCCAGCCACCTCTAGCGGGCCAGGCCTGAGTCACACCCGGTTTTCACTGACCCCCTGCAAGTTGCCAATAAAGTACACAGTTTGTCTTGTCTCAGAGAGTGAAGAGAAACACAAAGAAAAGGCATTAATTCCTAAGCTTTGTTGGATGATGATAAGCAGTAATGAATTACTGTTATATACCACCAAGTTGCCATGAGGTCCTTACTGTACCCACTTTTTTGGTTTACATGTAACATTTGACATTGTTTTGCAGAAGGCTGAAGAAAATGCGGAGGGGGAGGAGTCTGCCCTGGGACCAGACGGAGAGGTAAGGGATTTTGCATCCATTTCTGCTGTGTTCTGTTGAATGATACCCTGCCATACCTTGCTGCACTATTCTCTGTGTATACTGATTTTATTTTGTACTCTGCTATTCTTTTTTTTTTAACATCTTTATTGCAGTATAATTGCTTTACAATGGTGTGTTAGTTTCTGCTGTATGACAAAGTGAATCAGCTATACATATACATATATCCCCATATCCCCTCCCTCTTGCGTCTCCCTCCCACCCTCCCTATCCCACCCCTCTAGGTGGTCACAAAGCACCGAGCTGATCTCCCTGTGCTATGCGGCTGCTTCCCACTAGCTATCTGTTTTACGTCTGGTAGTATTTATAAGTCCATGCCACTCTCTCACTTCGTCCCAGCTTCCCCTTCCCCGTGTCCTCAGGTCCATTCTCTACATCTGTGTCTTTATTCCTGTCCTGCCCCTAGAACATCTTTATTGGAGTATAATTGCTTTACAATGGTGTGTTAGTTTCTGCTTTATAACAAAGTGAATCAGTTATACATATACATATGTTCCCATATCTCTTCCCTCTTGTGTCTCCCTCCCACCCTCCCTATCCCACCCCTCCAGGTGGTCACAAAGCACCGAGCTGATCTCCCTGTGCTATGCGGCTGCTTCCCACTAGCTATCTATTTTACATTTGGTAGTGTATATATGTCCATGCCTCTCTCTCACTTTGTCCCAGCTTACCCTTCCCCCTCCCCATATCCTCAAGTCCATGCTCTAGTAAGTCTGTGTCTTTATTCCTGTCTTGCCCCTAGGTTCTTCATGACCATTTTTTTTTTCTTAGATTCCATATACATGTGTTAGCATATGGTATTTCTTTATCTCTTTCTGACTGACTTCACTCTGTATGACAGACTCTAGGTCCATCCACCTCACTACAAATAACTCAATTTCATTTCTTTTTATTGCTGAGTAATATTCCATTGTGTATATGTGCCACATCTTTATTCATTCATCTGTTGATGGACACTTAGGTTGCTTCCATGTCCTGGCTATTGTAAATAGAGCTGCAGTGAACATTGTGGTACATGACTCTTTTTGAATTATGGTTCTCTCAGGGTATATGCCCAGTTGTGGGTTTGCTGGGTCGTATGGTAGTTCTATTTTTAGTTTTTTAAGGAGCCTCCATACTGTTCTCCATAGCGGCTGTATCAATTTACATTCCCACCAACAGTGCAAGAGGGTTCGCTTTTCTCCACACCCTCTCCAGCCTTTATTGTTTGTAGATTTTTTGATGATGGCCATTCTGACTGGTGTGAGGTGATACCTCATTGTAGTTTTGATTTGCATTTCTCTAATGATTAGTGATGTTAAGCATTCTTTCATGTGTTTGTTGGCCATCTGTCTGTCTTCTTTTTTTTTTTTTTTTTTTTTCCTTGCGTTATGCGGGCCTCTCACTGTTGTGGCCTCTCCCATTTGCGGAGCACAGGCTCCGGACGCGCAGGCTCAGTGGCCATGGCTCACGGGCCCAGCCGCTCCGCGGCATGTGGGATCTTCCCGAAACGGGGCACGAACCCGCGTCTCCTGCATCGGCAGGCGGACTCTCAAGCACTGCGCCACCAGGGAAGCCCTGTCTGTCTTCTTTGGAGAAATGTCTGTTTAGGTCTTCTGCCCATTTTTGGATTGGGTTGTTTGTTTTTTTGATATTGAGTTGCTTGTAAATTTTGGAGATTAATCCTTTGTCAGTTGCTTCATTTGCAAATATTTTGCAAATATTTTCTCCCATTCTGAGGGTTGTCTTTTGGTCTTGTTTATGGTTTCCTTTGCTGTGCAAAAGCTTTTCAGTTTCATTAGGTCCCATTTGTTTATTTTTGTTTTTATTTCCAATTTCTCTAGGAGGTGGGTCGAAAAGGATCTTGCTGTGATTTATGTCATAGAGTGTTCTGCCTATGTTTTCCTCTAAGAGTTTGATAGTTTCCGGCCTTACGTTTAGGTCTTTAATCCATTTTGAGGTTATTTTTGTGTATGGTGTTAGGGAGCATTCTAATTTCATTCTTTTATATGTAGCTGTCCAGTTTTCCCAGACCCACTTATTAGAGAGGCTGTCTTTTCTCCGTTGTATATTCTTGCCTCCTTTATCAAAAATAAGGTGACCACATGTGCGTGGGTTTATCTCTGGGCTTTCTATCCTGTTCCATTGATCTGTATTTCTGTTTTTGTGCCAGTACCATACTGTCTTGATTACTGTAGCTTTGTAGTATAGTCTGAAGTCCGGGAGCCTGATTCCTCCAGCTCTTTTTCTTTCTCAGTATCGCTTTGGCTATTCGGGGTCTTTTGTGTTTCCATTACAAATTGTGAAATATTTTGTTCTAGTTCTGTGAAAAATGCCATTGGTAGTTTGATAGGGATTGCATTGAATCTGTAGATTGCTTTGGGTAATAGAGTCATTTTCACAATGTTGATTGTTCCAATCCAGGAATATGGTACATCTCTCCATCTGTTTGTATCATCTTTAATTTCTTTCATCAGTGTCTGATAGTTTTCTGCATACAGGTCTTTTGTCTCCTTAGGTAGGTTTATTCCTAGGTATTTTATTCTTTTTGTTGCAGTGGTAAGTGGGAGTGTTTCCTTAATTTCTCTTTCAGATTTTTCATCATTAATGTATAGGAATGCAAAAGATTTCTGTGCATTAATTTGGTATCCTGCTACTTTACCAAATTCGTTGATTAGCTCTAGTAGTTTTCTGGTAGCATCTTTAGGATTCTCTATGTATAGTATCATGTTATGTGCAAACAGTGACAGCTTTACCTCTTCTTTTCCGATTTGGATTCCTTTCATTTCTTTTTCTTCTCTGATTGCTGTGGCTAAAACTTCTAAAACTATGTTGAGTAATAGTGGTAAGAGTGGACAACCTTGTCTTGTTCCTGATCTTGGGGGAGATGGTTTCAGTTGTTCACCATTGAGAACGATGTTGGCCGTGGGTTTGTCATATGTGGCCTTTATTATGTTGAGGTTAAGTTCCCTCTCTGCCTACTTTTAGGAGGGTTTTTATCATAAATGGGTGTTGAATTTTGTCAAAAGCTTTTTCTGCATCTATTGAGATGATCATATGGTTTCTCTCTGCTATTCATTTTTAAGTAAAAATAGTAGTACATTAGCATGGTAGAAAATTAGAATAGTATGAAAGGGTACACTGAAAAGTAATCTTCCATCTCAGACTGCCAATCAACTGATACTAAGTTTCTTATGTACCACTCCAGAAATTGTCTGTGCACATATAAGCATGTGTTTATGAATATACAGAATGTGTAAAAATCTTAAGTGATTCTATAATTACATTTTCCCCGTCGATGATACAGAAGCAGAAAATATGACCCAGTTTCCTTCACTTACTTTGAAATTTCATAACTCTGTAAGCCAAACAATTTGCGTATTTGGTAGCTTATTTTTTGCCATTTTCTGTAGGCTTACCCTGTAGCTTCTATTTGTAGATTCATCGACGTATTTCTAAATTTTATTTCCTAGTATTTCCAATATTCCGAATCACCAGAATACAATGATTGATTTATTGGATGTTTTTTTTCTCTGAAAACTCAAAAGTTCTTGGCCAGTGATTCACACGAGCAGGCACCCCCCCGGAGCAGGATGGGAAGGGCGTTTGTTTCAAACTTCTTTCTCCTTTCACAGATTCTGATTAATCTGCCTGGAGGATTGGGGTGGGTGGAGGGTTGTCTCTTCCCCTTCTGGAATTGCAGTGCACACGAGAAGTATTATGAATGTGAACAGCCTGGTGGCAGGAAAAAGGTTGAAACCACTATTCTGTGCAGAAATCTCTTGAACAATAAATGTTACTTAACCACTATAATTCATCACAAGGAAAGAAAAGATCAGGATAAATGTCTAATATCTAAGAAACACTCAGTGGGCTGTTATGGGGGAAGAATACTATATATTAGAGCACTTAGAAACAACCCTAATTTGTAAAAACCCACCCTTACTTAAGCATGCCTCACATCAGTCTGTAACTAACAAGCACACAGGGAGAGATTTAATGTGTTAGTGTGATAGCTCTCTTATCTCACGTTGTCTCCTGGGAAAATAAGCTCCTGATCTTGGGCCTGTGACATACCCCTTTTTTTTTTTTTAATCTAAACACATGTGTTTTCTGTTTGCTGAAGTGGGCAAAGTAGATGTGTTACCTGGTTTGTTTTCAAATAATGTTCTGATTACATTCTGCTGTGCTCATTCAGTGTTTTTGGCCAAAGTTCTAATTCCAGCTACAGTGATTTCCAGTTTTCTTTGAGGCATGACACAAACAATAAAACAAGCTGCATTATAATAGTTCAAGATAATGGAATATGATTTTTCCAAGGGAGATGGTAGCGAATGGTAGATTTCCTGCTTTATCGCTTGAGCCTGTAGACGACCTTCTACGTTAATAGGAAGAAGCATTGTCTTGACATATGCAAAGTAACGGTGTTCACAACCATTGCTTCAGCACACATAAAAGGAAAAACTGTCTGGAGTAAGCCTTCTCTTTTTTGTAAGTTTTTTTCTGGTGGATAATTGCTAATATATTGTTTCTTATTCTGACAGCGCTTTGTTAAGGGAGAAGGGGGAAAGAACCAATATTTTGGGGGAAGGAGGTGGTCATTTCCTATAAGGTATTAGAAGATAACCTACAGTATACTGCTTTTCCTATCATTTTAATTTAACTCCAAATGAGAGTAATTTAGAAAAAATTCTTTGGAATTAATGGGTTGCCTAAACGTCTCACCTGGGGGCCTGCTCCTAGAAGTACAGTCACCCTGTAATCAGTAGCATTCATTTGCATAGGATTGCTCCATTTTTAGGCCTTTTTAAACATTTCGTTCTCTGAAGTAGGTTAAGCACAGCCTCTGCAGTTTCACTTATTCTCTTAATTTTCTGAGCAAAAGCCGTATTTCATTGAGAGTCTAATAACTAACTTCAGCTCAGACTTGGTCAATTTGCCAGATTTCCAGTGAGCAGAGCCTTTTGCTTTATCACAGGTCCGCATGGTTGGGCTTGGTACCTGGTGGTTTGGTTTTGGATAAATGACGTCGTTTCTGCAGAAGCCAAACCAGCCATAATGAGACGATACAAGTTACAGTACCTTTTCCTTGTTTCCATTATTCTCTCTGAAACCATGACTTTGCAGTAGTCCTCATCTGGAGGGGATTATTTGGGGGTTGGGGGTTCTTAGCTGCAAATGACAAAAATCAACTCTGCCTGATTTAAGTAAGAAGGGAACATACTAATAGGATATTGGGTGAGTCATCGGAACTCTGGAAGCCCGGAGAAGCTGACTGGGGACTGCGCTGTTATTTCAGTGATATGTTACCGCAGTGTACCCTGCAGCTGCTTAGTGAGGACATGGCCAGCCTCGGGAGTGGGCACAGCCAATACCACTGCACTGGCACTGCTGCCACTGTTGTCTGCCCTCCTACCAGTGTGCCTGTTGGCCCCCGCTTCCTCCTAGGTCCTAATTCAGAGCCTTGGTGAATGAGCCCAGCTGGTGGAGCTTAGGTCTTGTGCCAGTTCTTTTGCTGCAAGGGAGGCTGGTGATTTCAGTTTCTTTGGTAGGAGGTGACCTCCCACTTCCCACCAGGACTCATCAGGTGATGAAATTTCTAATCGCGGGAAAGGGTTTCAAACGCTGGGCAGCCAAAAGGCCGAGAAACATCCAGCACAGAATTGGGAGAATGTCTTAACCCGAAGCGGTGTTATGTCTTTTCTCCTTTCTAGCCCATAGATGAGAGCAGCCAGATGAGTGACCTCCCTGTCAAAGTGACTCACACAGAAACCGGCAAGGTCCTGTTTGGCCCAGAAGCACCCAAAGCAAGTCAGCTGGATGCCTGGTTGGAAATGAATCCTGGGTATGGCACCAAAGCAGAATTATTGGTGTTCTTTGACTTTTTAGGTTTTTGTGGTCCTTGTAGAATCTGGGAACTAAAATAGCATGACCTTTGCTGAACTGCTTAAAGTTATTACCTGCATTTGTATATAGAATGTGCCGTATATTTGTGTATAAACACACACACACGCACACACACAGTTTTATGATTTAAAAAGCTAAGCCTCCTCTTCCTTCCCACTCCTTTTCTTGTAGTTACGAAGTTGCCCCTAGATCGGACAGTGAAGAGAGTGATTCTGATTATGAGGAGGAGGTACGTATATATCTCTGTTTGGAGTTCATTGGCTGGAAAGTTCACGGGGAAGCACCCGTGTCCTTCTATCTCTTCGTCCTCCAGTTTTGGCCATCGGGTGACAGCTGGGGCTGAGGGTTTGACAGAGCTTTGCTGATGCATGCCTAGTAGCACAGTGACCTCTCGGGGGCTCCTGGCGAATGTGGAAGCTTGGTGAATTCTAGATTTATTTGAAACCAAGAAGAGAGAAGGTGGCATTAAATTGGAGATGGTAGAAAGGTCTTCTGAGGAAAATTGGAGATGGATTACTTTGGGAAAGGCAATTCCATGCTTCTAAGTCATTTACACTGAGGGTTAACAGCCTAAAAATGTCTGAAGTTCTTTAGTCCGTGGGCCTGTTTGAAGCTGTAAGTCTGGAAACTTAGACCCAAAGGGCAACATGCGCTTGGTTTAATGGGTTTATTGATCCTCTTGGGTTTTTTCTTTAAGTGTGATTCTTGCTTGAATTCTTTGGATATACTTGTTAGCCACATTTGTCAGTCTTTTGGAAGGAATACTCAATGTATCCAGAACCTAAAATGGTAATCTTGGATACTTTTAATAGAAATTAAGGAATAATGAAGGTATCTTTTAGATCAACTTTAAAATCCTTAACACTTACAAGTAGAAGGATTAAAAGATTTTTATCTCCTGTATTAGAGCATTGTTAGCGTATAGTAATTAAATCTGGTGTTTACCAGTGTAGGGGAACCTTGGTTCAAAGAATGCCATGGCCGGAGCAGAGCAGCCTTACCAATAACAGCTCACCAGAATTTTAAGACCGTTGTTATTTTCTTCTGTTTTGTGGACCTGTGTTTTCTAAATTAATCTACCGTGGACACTTGCTGCTTTTGCAAAGAGGAAAGATAATAGAAGTTACTTTTTTTTTTTTTTTTAGAAAAAAAAGCGTGCTGTTAACAAGCAAATGCTTTTGGAGGCATTTTTTTTTTTTTTTTTTTTTTTTTAAATAGGCTGCTTTTTCTCTGAGGTACTTGAAACTTACAAAATCAATTTTTAAAATGTCTCTTGTTTACTCGGATGAATGGGCCCATAAATGATCCATTGGAAGAATCTTCTCATTGAGTCTGAGAGCCAGGGAGGGACAGAGATGAGGTAGAGAAGGCTGCTCAGCCCACAGGTCCCCTCCTGAGACTGGCAACTGCAGACAGCTCCAGAGAGCTGGGACTAGAGTGAACTCTGACCTGGGGGTCCGGAGACCAGGTCCCCATCTCATGGCGAGTCATGTCCCGCCTCGGTGCTCACCTGGATGTGAAAGAGCTGTGCCAAGTTTACCCCTTGTGGCTCAGTGATCTGTGGTCATAGATTTGATTTTCAACATTACTATCATGTCAGTTTGTATTGTTTCATTCAAGCCTGATGGAAAAGCATGGTTCTCTTTAAGCCTATTTTAAAGGAAATTCTCCTGGATTATCTGGAAGGATTCAGCCTTCAACACCAGTGGGTAGTAGTGGGCATTATGGATATTCAGTGAAGCTTTTCAACAGGCCAGCAGAACGAAGTACACAGTTGCGAGGTGGGGAGGTGATGAATCCTTTGCCATGTTATTGACAGTTTTAATCTAAATAGCCTGAGATGTGGGCTGTGAAGTGGCCACAGAAATCACACACAGAAGGCCCTGTGCTTACAAGCTCCAGTCTCTCCACTGTGAAGACCTGTGGGACCATCAGAGGCCCACTGGCATCATCAGAGACAAGGACAATAGTAAGATCCCTTCAGTTGGCTTTGGAGGGAAGGGTATAGAAGGTCACTAAGTTAGCAAGAGCAGATATGGTCTACAGGACTCTCTGATGACCAAATAATGATAAATATCCATCTTTCTGGCATGATTTTTACATATTTATTCTTGGGAGCAAGGGTTCCAGGGGATCCTCAGAGGGTTCCTTTCGTTCTTTCATTCAGTGGTGTAAGCAGCGATGGAGAGGTAGGTATTGCCTGGTGTAAGTAAGGGTTAAGTTTACGTCCCCCCTCAGTTGTGTGCACCTCACTTGTGAAGTAGAATACTATTCACTCTCTTTTCAGAAGTCGCCAAGCCCTGGGATTCCCTCGCTAAAACGGAATCACCCCCATATCTTTGTTGCTTCCCCAGGATGAAGAGGAAGAGTCCAGTAGGCAGGAAACTGAAGACAAAATACTTCTGGATCCAAACAGCGAAGAGGTTTCAGAGAAGGACGCTAAGCAGATCATCGAGTATGTGTCTCTCAGAGTTTTGTCTCCTGCAGATGCATTTCGTGAGGGTTGCGCTTTATGGATTTTCTTTTTAGAGAAGTTTGTCTAAGGAAGGAAGCCGACCTCACGCCCACGCTCCCCCCGAAACGCCGCCGTCAGAGGCCACCAGACTGTCCCACTGCTCAGCTCCCCCCTTGCGCCCTCCCCCACTTCATGACTTCCTCGCTCCTGGGCTCCTCGCGTGTCACGCGCTTCCGTCCCACGTGGAACCTTCCCCTCCAGCTGGCTGCCTTTCCCGCCTTCCTTAATGGTGCCAACACCCGCCCAGAACCCCAAGTGAGAAACGTCCTCGTTGCAGTAGCTGCTCAGCCACTGACTCCCCTACCCAGCTCTTTTCTTTTTATTAATTAATTAATTTATTTTTGGCTGTGCTGGGTCTTCGTTTCTGTGCGAGGGCTTTCTCTAGTTGCGGCGAGTGGGGACCACTCTTCATCGCGGTGTGCGGGCCTCTCACTGTTGCGGCCTCACTTGTTGTGGAGCACGGGCTCCAGACGTGCAGGCTCAGTAGTTGCGGCTCACGGGCCCAGTTGCTCCGCGGCATGTGGGATCTTCCCAGACCAGGGCTCGAACCCGTGTCCCCTGCATTAGCAGGCAGACTCTCAACCACTGCGCCACCAGCTCTTTGCCTGTTTAGCTCTAGTGTTAAAAGAAAACTGTGGCGAAACGCTATGCAAAATAGAACATTTTAAAGTGATGAGATTAAAAAAAAAAATAAGCAGAAATAGGCATTCTGATATTTTCTCCTTTTATTCCAGGGCTGTGTGCCCATTTCAGGAGCCTTTCTTCTATTCGTCTGCCCCCAGTTTCTTCCCTGAAGGTTTTCAAGACCCCCCTCAGTGGCCCCTCACTGCCTGTAGAATAACTCAGTAGTTGGTTAACAAGACATAGAAAGTGGAAGACGACCTCTCCTCGTTCCTGTCTCTTTAATGTCACCTTTGGCCCCCCTCTCACCTGTCTTCCAAGTTTTAGGCAGTGTTCTGTGGATAGGATTTATCTTTGTACTTCAAGGGCCTAGGACAGCTTCACTGGCAAAGTGTGAACCTGCAGGTGTACAGTTCACGCTCATAGCAGTCACTTGAGGTCGAGCGGGCCTGCGTTCAAATCCTGACGCCACCACCTTTCATGTTACCTGGGCAAATTCGTGAACCTCTCTCAGCCTGAAGTTCTCCACAGGCATGAAGTGGGGATGGTCACTACAACGTCTGCCCTGCTTGCTTTTCGCGAGGATTACAGATAATATGTTTTAGCTGCCGGGCATGAAGTAGGTGATAAATAAAGCTGTACTTCCTGCAGCTGTTTTCGGCTCTCCATTCATGCACCAACTTGTCTGTGTGTGACTCTCCACCTTCTGTGGCCCAGGACAGCCAAGCAAGACGTGGACGATGAGTACAGCATGCAGTACAGTGCCAGGGGTTCCCAGTCCTACTACACGGTGGCCCACGCCATCTCGGAGAGGGTGGAGAAGCAGTCGGCCCTCCTCATCAATGGGACCCTGAAGCATTATCAGGTAACTGGCGTGGTGTGTGTTTTCTTGGCAGGTCTCAATCTGTTACCTAATTTTGATTAGAGTGTGTTGTGTGCATGCCTGTTGCTGCAGAGAGTTGACCATGGCAAACATTTGGGGTCGCATTGCTTCTAATGTGGCGATTCTCTCCACCGTGCCCGTAATTCTTGTTTTAGAGTGTTCCATTTTACCGTCTTCCCTAGAGCATACCCATTTTCTCTTCTGTGGCTTTGGGATGGATTGTGTTTTCAGAAATTCTGGGGTTAACTTTTGGAACCCCTTTACCGTGGATCTCCAGAATGGAA